TAGGGAAAAATCAAATTCCCTCCCCCTTGTAAATCACCTTCAATGGAGACGATGTCAGACTGAAGGTTCTGGGAGCTTCAGTCTGACACTCAGGCTAGGACTTTGCAGTAACCACCTTGTGTCTCTTACCTCTCTCTGATTGGGGAACCCATTGGCGCTGATGACGCGTTTGTAAAACTGAACGGAGGCTTTGGGATAGCGAGGCTTGTTCTTGTTCCTGAAGTCCACATAGTACAAGCCAAACCTCTCAGAATAGCCTTCGTCCCACTCAAACTTGTCCAGCAGCGACCATGCAGTGTAGCCCTTCACATTGACTCCATCTTTGATAGCTGAGTGGAACCACAGAGAGTGAGCTGGGTTGGATTTTGATTAAATTTGCTCCAACTTACTAAACAAAAATATAAATGTACGAGCTCATTCACCTTTCAGCATCTCATTGATGTAGTCTTTATAATACTGTATCCTCCAGTCATCACACAGCTCTGTGCACAACATCTTCTCAGAGACTCCGTTCTCAGTCACATAAATCATCGGGTTTCCGTACTGAGTCTAGATGAGAAACAAATCAATATGTAATAAGTTGCAATTACATAGTTTCAGGTTCAGCACAAATGTCAACAAGCCTGTTCTGCATCATTAACTATACGCCATAGGTCACCTTGACGAAATTGAGCAGGCGTCTGAAACCCCAAGGCACGGCGTAGAGCCACTCAGACCCAGGGTCAGGCCACCGTGGGTCAACCAGCTCAGCCAGGTCACGGTCAGTGAAGTAGCTGCTGGTGCTACGACCTGATGGGTTATTCTTTTGGGTGATGTAGCGGGTGGTGAAGTGGCCAACGCCGAGGAAGTCGCACGTCCCCTTGATGTAGCTCTTCTCTTGGGGGGAAAATGTTGGCAGGCGAGATGTCCCGAGGCCCTGCTGGACACTCTTCCTTCCTGCACACAGTTACAAATAGTGATTAGTTCATTCCCAATGAATAATATTACTTCAGGATTAACTGTTTCTAATTTAAAGACCCCCTACGATGAAAATCAAGTTTTTAGTCATCAATATGTCTGTATGTTGGTTTTTTTATATGCTACAAGACATACTGTATGAGTGAAATAAGCAACCAACACCACTGCTGATAATTTCTTCCTTAGAACTGCAGTTAACCAATGTCAGTCTCAAAAACATGGATTTAAAGAACCAGGGTTTCATACCTCACATACCTAAGGAACCAATCCTGTCAACCTTTGGGGTGGGGGTTTCAATACCATTAGCATAGCGCTACAGCAAAAAGAGGGGTACATCAGAGGAGAAACCAGGTGTAGTTATGTATTGGTATTTGCAAGTTTCACTTTCGCTTCAACTCGTAAGAGCCGATGATTGAAAACAAGGTTTATCCAACATTAGCAACACATTATCGGCTGTTTTATAACCTAGTCAAACCAAAGGCTTATGTTATCTATTAGCAAGCGCAGCTGCTAGGGGCACTTGCAGCATGCGCTGTATGTAGGGCACCAGTGCTGGAACAGGCACCAACACAGGCCAATATGATCATCATCAATCATAATTATATGTATCACATTAACTCTTCCAGTTAAGGCCCTCTCGGACACAACATGGTGTGAGTGATGACCAGTGTCGAAGGTGAGCAGGTATGCTCAAGAGGAACTTTAACTCACCAATGAAGTCTTTCATCACTTGAGGGTAGTCTCCATGAAAGATGGGTGTGGCAAACCAGCCCAGGTAGAACTGGACGTATCTCTCAGCTGCTTCGATGTCTTTCTGGTTGCTGATATCCACCGGCTCGCCCCAGTCTCCAGACAGAGAGATGCCAACCAGACCTGCAGGTGTGAACAGCAGCTCACAACATTAAGACAGACAGGACTGTTGAGAAAATGCTGAACAAAGTAACTTTCAAGAGTTTAGTTTACCTTTTTGTTTCGCCCTCCATTGTGTATCATAAGTGTGCCAAACTTTGGCATGGGCCTAAAAAAAAGATTATAATAATTATCATTACATTTCAGTTTAAAGTAGTACATTAATTGCTAAGTGTTTTTAGTAGCTGAATGCATTCTCCTACCTTGATGATGTGATGTGCAGCTCTGTATGCTCCTGTTCCTCTCAGCTTCAGTCCAGGAGCATGTTCACCAGTCTCATAACCTTCAACTGCGACAGACTGAAGCAGGTGAGCAGATTACGGAGTATGAGTGTGACAGCAGTACTTTTACAAACATGTAGATGCATATTAATCCATGCTCTATGACAGTGGTGGAAGAAGCACTTGGAGTCTAAAGTAAAAGTACTAATACTATGTTGTAAAAAATACTACTTAATTATGTACAGGTATATAAGTATTTTAAGTAATATTTACTTTAAGTATGAAGAGTAAAAGTATTCATTGTGCAGTAAAATGTTACCTGTTGGTGTTTTACTATTGTATCTGATTATGTATCAGGTTGTCCCGTCACAACAACACATCTCTAAAAACTCAGAAAAACAACCCTGTTCTCAGCTTTGTGACGATGCATTTTCGAGCTGATGATTTTGAACCTACCCATGGATTGTTGAATGTCATCCAGTACTTGACTCGGTTGCCAAATCTTTCAAAGCACAGGTTAGCAAACTCATTGAAGTGATTGACCATGCTTATGTTCTGCCATCCACCATATTTCTCTTGCAAGACCTGGAAAAGGAAACAGTACGGTACCTCGTTAAATAAGAAAAGTGCTGTAATGCAAAAGGCTGAAGTTAGGGATTATAAGTATTTTGGATACTGACCTGTGGGAGATCCCAGTGATACAAAGTGACGACAGGGGTGATCTTGCTCTCCAGCAGGTGGTCAATCAGTTCATCATAGTACCGTATTCCTTTTTCATTTATATGGTCTGCTGCAAATGGTATTAAAGTGTCAATAATTCCTCAGCTTTAGCATTCAACAGTCTAATCATAGTTCAGTTGCTCAGTTCAGTTCAGTTACTCACACTTTATGCCAGTGGGGATGAGTCTAGGCCAGGATATGGAGAAGCGATAGTGGTTAAGCTTCAGCTCCTTCATCAGGGCAACATCATCCTGTACAACACACACACACAATGGAGTGAAATATTTACATTTAGAGATTCTTTTGCCCTGCTTAGTTCTCTCCACATCCCTCAGACACACCACACCTGATCACCCCACCTTGACTTTGTGGTAGCCCTCACAAGAGGAGTCTCCGGTGTCATTATATTGGATTTTGCCTTTCTTATGACTGAACACGTCCCAGATGCTCAGTCCTTTTCCATCTTTGTCCCAGGCTCCTTCTGTTTGATAGGCTGAACTGCCGGCACCCCACGAAAATCCTAATGATTACAAAATTGACAACAACCAGATGACCAGCTCTTACAGGAGGGATAATGTCACCAATTACTGAATCATTAAAATGCACCGCCTCTGTCCCACTGAAGAAAAGACCAAGTTGTGTTTACCAGCTGGAAAAGTGCCATAATAGAAGGAGCCGTGGTTGTTCTTTGTCCAGTCGAAGTCCTCAGCCGAAGACAGACACAGCACCAACACAAACACATGACACACACTGAATGCACAGCGGGGCAGCATGGTAGTCCTGAGCCTGCAGCACAGTCACTGTCTGGTTCTGCTCCAGTCCCTCACTGACGGCTACACACAGGGGAGAACCATTCAGCATCACCTCTTAATCACAATAATCCGGTTATATCTAAAACATATAAACACATGATTGCACTCTTGTTTTCTAAAGAAAAAAAATTGTCAAAAATTAAAAAACAAACAAACAAAAATGATAAGTGCAATCACGATAAATGTTCATCAACAGTCTGAAAGCATCCAACGCGATGGACTACGGGGGGTCCCGCATCCCTAATGCATAGCCAAATACCCCTTTTCAAACTCAATGGAGTGTGAACTCATCTTGCTGAGGCACACAGATCCCATACAAAAGATGGTTTCACCTCTGTAAGCAAAGTTAATGTCAGAGAGGTTGATATATTTACAGTGCACAATCACATGACAGTGGATGATAAACCTGTTCACACATATGGACTAAATGTAGGTACTGGAGCTTTCATAACATCATCATTTGATAATTACAAGGACATTATTGATATGTTACACTGCCATGGTTAGAGTCCAGCTTTGAGTTCTTACAACTCTCAAAAAATAAACAATTTTCTTTGTAGATAATTGCAATTTCAGATTTTTAGTTGCATCATATCATGCTCCGGTCTTATGGTGTAATATGCCTGCAATCAGTGTGACACATGAGCTTTTCCATAATGCAAAATTTAAGACATTGCACCATGATAACTTCAGGGATTTTACATCAGAAATATATTAAAAGCTTAGACTTAAAACCTAAAAAAAATCTAAAGCTCCTGCAATTGTGAATTCTGTTTACAGCACACATTCCTGTTTACATTTGTTTTTGTTTCCCACATGTAATTCCTCACTTTTTGTCTCAGTATTCCTTCATCACAAAATCTATAAGCATCACTCCATAAAATCTGATTTACAATTGCAAATATACCAAATAAAACATCCAGTTAACTGCCTACCTTATGAGGAATTCATTTGCAGCAGGTGTGTGTGCTTAGCCCTGGGTAAATGGGAGCCTCTCCTGGAACAGCAGACCACGTAGAAAGCTGTATATATCTATCGGTGCACTCTCTATTGTACGGTGCCTGTTGTAGCACCACCCTTCTCCAGAGCTGTCCCTGCTGTCAGTGTGAAAGCTGGCCTTATTGTCAAGCTCACTGTATTGTTTTAGCTGTTTAGAAAATGCTGAATGGTTTGCTGGTAGAAAGTGTTTGCACTGCATTACCCATTTGCCTGGGTCAGGTTAGGACAATTTTACATATGTTTTACCTTAATTGAAAATAAGATTTATCCTCTTATTGCACATAATTAACCGTTCATTATATTTGAAAAACATTTCTGTATGTTGGGAAGGATGTTGACACAAAGTATGAGTGTAGGCTACATTGTAAGAATCAGTCAGATGAACCTATGCAAAACATTTTATTTTGTGCTTACAATTATCATCTCTTACACAACACATACACACTATTTTCTTATATGGCCCAGCCATACATTTTAATGCTAATCCTCAAAATGCACAATATGTCTAGTAAGCTATAAGCACCTAATAACACTGTCTTACTGCATTTCAGTGAGACATTTCTCACAAAATTTGACACGAGTTCTAACATGGTGTGCTGTGGATGACATGCCTTAAATCAGGCAAAGAGGAGAGTGTACTGTTAGCACCACACACCATTAAACTGTAACTGTTACTCACTCCATCCAAATAAATTAAACTTCAAAAGTGAAAAACAGGTGAACAAATAAACAGACGTCCGTTTACGCGTGGTTCTTCTTCAGTGGTGCAAACACTAAAGCACTGTGAAATATTGAGAATCTCAGTAATCATCCTCCTCCTCGTCTTCCTCAGGCACAAACCCAAGCTCATTATCATCCTGTTCTTCATCATCATCTTCTTCTTCTTCCTCCTCATCATCTTCCTCCTCCTCCTCCTCCTCCTCCTCTTCCATGTCAAAATCTACAGCAGCATTCAGTAGCAGTTTGGTTCGGTTGATCTCGCTCTCGTCATCAAGGTTGAAATGAACCTGAAAAAAAGAAAAAAGAAAAACATAAAACCTGTTAACACAAATTAATGTCAATCTGAGTGTGCAAGACAGAACTTTAAAAACATTTATGAGAACAGGAGAAAAACTGTAAAAACTTTTTTTGCAGGTAATTTTCATAGTTATTTAACATTACTCTGGGCCCTGTTGTATTTTAATGACAAAAAAAAGCTCAAGTTGGAATCAACATCTAGCTGGAGACACATTATTATCTCTTCACACAGTTTGGTAAAGTGCAGCAAAAAAAAAAAAAAAAAAAAAATTATCTAGCTACACCTGCGAGTGTTATAAAGTCATGTTGGGAAAATGATTCTCAGCTATCTAAAATGACACACTTGGTTTATCCATATCTCTTTATTCATGCTGAATAGAATGCTAGTGTATAGGGCATTAGCAGTAGAAAGGAGAGGTGTTTCTAATTCAGAGGTATAATAGTTGTCTGGACAAGACAAATAAAACCATCTATAAAATTATCACTGTGGTAAACAAAGTATAATTCGATTATTTATGAAGCAATTTGTTCAAACAAGCCTCCCAAGAAGGCTGTTTTTGAGTAAAATGAAGCACTGAAAAACAAAAACAGTCCTAAAATGTTTTACTCCGTGCCTTTAGGTGTACTGTAATATTGTGATTATTCAACAGGTGTAATGAGACAGACGGGTCATTGACACATTCTCTTTGGACATGTCGGAAACTGTTTACTTATTGGAAGAGTATTTTTGAATGTTTTTCTAAAGCCTTTGAGAAGACCTGGGAACCCAGCCCACTAGTTGCTGTTTAAGGAGCCACGAGTGTATTACTTGCAGTAGACAAATACGAATCTCAGGCTATAGCGTATGGTATGGTAGTAGCAAGAAAACTTATCTTACTTTTGTAGAAATCTGACAGCGCACCTACGTATGTTATGTGGATAAGAGAGCTGATGAATGTCCTACACTTAGAAAGGTTGCGGTTCTCTAACAAGAACAAGATTCAAATATTTAGCAGTATTTGGAGCCCTGTCCTAGAATTTCTAAAAGACAGCTAGTGGTGGTTTAACTATCTGTCCTCTATTGCTGTGTACATGTAAAGTTGAAATCCTGGGCTTTATTTTATTATTATTTTCTATATCTGCTTTAGATAATAACCATGGCTGAGCTGTTCATGTGACGTACTGAGTGTTTGTTTTGTGAGGGAGGGGGGAGGGGGGTTTGAGGTACTATGTACATTTCAGAAATATTTTTCTATGCTAAATGCTTGATGTGTGTTTAATTGTCATTATTCTCCACAAATTAAGGGATTAGAATAAACCCAATGAATGATGATTATTTGGCTATGTATATCGTAGTTGTACTGTATGTAAACTGGGGTTTTAAAGTACTCAGATTACACACGTAAACATATTTACCAGTATCCTGTCTTAAAGGTATTACGCAGAGCAACCATCTGCGTGGGTGTAAATGTAATCAGTAAGGTTATGCAGGCCTGCAAACTGTAACACCCCAGTAAGACGGAACAGTTGTATAGTAGCAGTGACAACAACAATATGACATTTAGCAGGGTTGTCCCCTGATGTTCTCTCTGGTACAGTGACTTACCTCATTTTCTGGGGTAGAGCGTTGGGAGGCTCCTTCTTCTGTTTGAGCACTAATGATGGATTTCAAGGCCCCTTCTTCAAACTGAAACACAGAGTGAACACATGGCATATAAACCACAGGTATCACAAACATAGACACAAACCTCAATATACTCACTCTGCGGATTATCTCACTTACCTTCAGCCTGTTCAGCTGGTCTTGTAGCATGACTTTTATTTTGAGGAGAGTCTCCTCTTCCTTCTTCAACTCCTGCAGACGGCTGTGCATCTTTACTGGTACTGCTGCAGTCAGACCATTCCTAAACACTGAAAGGAAAGACATCAGTGGTCAGAGATGCAGTATCATGCCTGATTTTATGTTGATTACAAAGGGGTAACGTTAGGGGTGGCAACTTTTCTAACCTGTCAAGTCTTATAAGTATGTAAGACCATACTGAATGGAATATAATGGGGAAATCTGGCTAGTTAGCTGGTTCTTTCTGATCCTGTTCCAGTCATTTAGATTTCATTTAACAATATTACAATTCATGAACTCTGTTTACCAGCTTCCAGACAATGTAGTCGGCTAAAATTAAGTATTTTAAAGTGCAATATAATAGCGCTTCTACCACATTTATTTACGAGTAGATCGGCGTTTAATCTCCACAGAGACAGATGCTGTCAAATTCAAAAACTGGCAAAGACACTGTACTGTTGCTGCTAGCTACGGAAAACAATGTGGCTAAATAGCGGTACCCCAAAATTATACTTTCTCCCCGACACATGCAGGAATAAACCCCAGTTTGAGACTATTACCTTTGTTTATAAATTCTGCCTACAGTTCCATAATAGGGTCGAAATCGGTGAGAAATAAAATAACGGGCTCCCGACAGCTTTTGTTTTTAATACTGATAGCCTAGCTGTTATGCTACATGTATAGCTACTAGCTAAAGTTTGGTTCCTGTGGTTGTGCGGTCATATCCGGTTTAGTGTTGCTTTAAATGCTGTCGGAAATTTTAGATTTTCGTCTCAGGAACGAACGATGTGTCAAATAGGTCTATCAGAGCAGAGGTCTTCTAGTGACGGCGACTTACTTGAAACCTGTGGTTCAACAATAACCATTAATAACGTTATTAATAGTTGTTGTCAGTGAACAGTGAAAGCCAGTTCAAAGCCTGTTAAAAGGTCCGAAAGTTTTTACGAACCTATTGCCAGAAAATGTATTCAAAAGAAATGGCTTCACACATCACAGAATTTAAAGAACAATATATGTATTATACTTTGGGTTTCGCTGTTAATTTAATATTTAATTACAGTCGAAGATAACTCACAACTCACATAACTATCCCTTTTATTCCGAAAATCCGACCTCACGAGAAGCACCTAAAGGCATCATTCGTAGTGAAGGAACGTTGACTCTGGCGGCATCTCGTGGTCAAATAACGGTAATGGCCGCCTTGCTTTTTCGGGTTAAAAGTAAGATTGTTTGATAATTATTTGAACAGAATGTGGTCATTAGACGGTAAGAAAACTTAGCTTTGTTTTAGAAGAGTCACGTAGTTAAATAAATACTTGTTAAAAGACCACAGCAATTCTATTGTAAGTTACTCTTAGTGGTACCCTGCTGTCATTTGACCAGGTGTACATTTGTTAGCTAGCCGGGCTAATTAACGTTAACGTGAATTAATGCAGCTATTTCTTTCTGGTCGGTTATCAATGACCGTCCTCCTTTCCAAAGAAAGGTTTGAAGTGGCAGGTGTCAACTTTACAGCAGTAGGAAGCCTAATTTGTAACAAATGTAGTTCACGGTGTTAGTCTCCCCCATAAAACATAAGGGTCACACTATTGGAAGGCAAATAGGCCTTAAAAGCGAGGCCCGTTTGCTACTTCACCAGACTGTATGCTGGCTGTAACTGAGCTAATATGCAAGGTGTAAATTTGCCTTTCATGCTGGCGTGACTCCAGATAGTGGCTTTAGTTTGTGTTTGGTAAGACTAAAAATGAGTGACACTCAAACAATAAAAGTAAGCAAACATATTTTGATGACAAGCAAACAGATTTATAGCAATATCTGTTAGAGTTTTTATGCATTTTCATGCATGATAAGGAAGGGTAGTTTACATGCTACAGAAAAATCTACAGTTTTCATGCTTGCTCAGTGTTACGATGATGGAGCAGCTCTTCATGTTTATTCAAGTATCTGATCTGCCCCATAAGCAAATATTCAGCAGCCATGCATATTACCTAGAAAGCATAGATCCCCCCCAAAGTACACTAAAAGGAGGCATGGAGTGTAGATAACGAATCCAGTGAAAACTTAAATAAATCACAGATGGAACTCATTGATGTGAACAAGATCTGAAACTGCTCTTAATCAGTCTTCAAAAAATGTTAGAAGAGCCCATTAGGTTCTTTATAGGATTCCTTGACTAACTCCATCCAGATGTGTGCATTGATAATCACAGCAGGCAGGCACGACTGGAGTCTAACAATGGAGCCCAGCCAAAAAGAGAGACATACCTGTCTCTGTTCACACACACATGAAAACAGGACTGCTGCAGGACGTAGGTTCCTCAAATTCCCCAAACCAGATGCTTTCTATTGGTGTGCTGCTAGACAATAATTTCAACAACGCAGGTCATTACAAGGCTATGTGATGAAACTGTAAATTGTGAGTAGTATTCTGTCAAAATATTATTTGAATGATTTAGAATTGCTTTATTTTTAATATCCTGTAAACACAATACTTACATTTTCACAAACACTGACTTGCCGTACAGTATAGTCGCACTATTTTATGTCATCGGGATGAGATGTAGCTCACTTACCCTCATTGCACATGCTTCTTGTTTTAGCTCATCTGTACACTCCACTGTTGTCTTGATCTTTGGGCCTGTAATTTCACTTTGTAGAAATATTGTATGGTGTCTGTGCTACAGGTGAGAAGCAGCAGCTGTTCGGTGCAACCACTGCTGCCACTGCTGAAGACCCAGGAGTGTTCTCAGATGAAACAGGGCAGTGCAGATGATGGGAGCTGACAAGAGGGTGTCCATGTGTCTCTGATAAAGGTTTGATATCAAGTATACATGTCACTGCTGTTCTGAACTGAGCTGTACTGCAAGCAGGCGTGGGCAAGATATATAAATTCTTCAGAAAAAGAAAATTATTTTTACTAGTATTATTGCACTCTACTCTGTCATACTATGCCTAACTTATTTCAAGGTAAAATGTAGTTAAAACATGCAGTATCTTGGTGACTTACAAGACAAATTCTTTTCATACCATTAAATTTTACAACTTAATTGCAATGTAAAACAGTTTGTATTTAAAGTCCTTAAGTGACTATTGTTCTACAGTATCTACAAGTGAATTGACTTAAGAAAATGACAATATTATGAGCAGTCTATACAATTTACAGGCAATAAGCAGCTGAAATGCATCATTTTTGCAAAGCCTCCCTACACACACATGCAACAAGGTGGAAGCACTGGGTCAGCCATGAATGACGCCCCTGGATCAGTTTAGGGGTTCAGTGCCCAGGAGGTGAACTGGTACCTCTCCATCTGCCAGTCCACACTCCATACTTGGTTCGTATGGGCACTTGAGCCAGCGACCCTACGGTTCCCAAGCCAAGTCCCCATGGACTGAGCAACTGCCACCTATAATTTAAACATGTAAAAGCTGTAGGGGTTTTCCAAAGTACAAAATGAGTCATGATCTTTGCGATGAAATAAGTCAGGCAGTGATGTTTCAGTGATGTTTCTGATGTTTCTACTTCCACTGTTTTGCTGCTGCTGAGTGACGTTATTTTTATGTTCATAAACTAATGGACAATTTGAGTGTTCATTACAGTACTGTACATTTGCCATGTTGTGGTATGTCACCATGTACAAGAACATTGTTGTTTTAAGAGCCAAGCACATAGTGAGCCTTGGGAGGGTGAAACTGGAGCTGTGTGTCAGTGTACTAGAGACCTAAAGGATTTGGGGGTCAGACGAAAAGGTGCTCTGAGGCCTGCGCCCCACTATCGCAGCTGCCACCCTCCTAGCACAGACACGAGAGGCCCCACTCTGGCATGAGGGTTTTACTTGGAGCTGGTTTCATCAGCTCAGAGGTGGCTAATACTGTAGTTATCACTCTGCTCCTTGAGAGCTGCAGTTGCTTTTACCTTGTCATCACAGAGACTCTGTTGCTGCTACACTGCAATTTCTCCCCAATCAAAGCTCTCCTTGGCAGGGCTTGAGCCCAGTGCTGAGGCCTGGTGGCAGCTGAGGCCGGGGCTCAGTCACCCTGCGTGCCGCTGCGAGTGGTGGTCTGCTATGCTTGTGCAGCGTTTGAAGGTGCTCCCACTGTCTGTGGAATGCAGCGCTGGGCGTGTTGGATGAGGGGCCTCCAAAAAGGGAGAGGAGGAAAGGAGGCGGGGGAACTTGGAGAGAACGAGAGAGAAAAAAGGGGGGGGGTGACCTTTGAACAGTGCCGTCAGGAAGTTATGACTCAATTTTCAATCGTGGCAGTAAAACACAGAGTAAGAGCATGGAAATAGAGGAGGGATGAAAGATGCAGAAGGAGAGAGGGAGGGAAGATGATGATACAGATTGTAAGGTGAGGCCCAGAGAGATAAGATTGTAAAGCAGCAGTGAAGCGTTTGTGAAGTCGATGGGGTTGGTGACTCGCCGGGAAATCATGGGTTGTCGTGCAATCACAGCTGAGAAAAACCAGATCATGGCCAGCATTGCTTGTCATTTGTCTCAGGTTCAGGAACAAGGCGCCCAGTTAAACAGAGCCTTATTCTGAAACGTGCTTGTGTGTAACAGAGTTGAACATTTAAGTCAATGTTTCACATGACTGTGAAACACTATAGGTCAAGCAATCTATAGGAGGAGGAGAAGGGAAAGGTGGGGGTGGCAGCTCCAGGATGTCCCCTCTTAAGCATTACAGTGATGTGGACAGGAGCCTCAGGCGCCTATGAAAGGAAAGGACTCGTGGTGATGCGGGGATGTGGAGGAGCCTTTGTTTCCAAGGAACTACCTCAACTTTACACTTCCTGTCCTGAACTCCCACACACACATATTCATGCAAAGTGGCACGCACACGCAGTGGGACAAATAGAGCGCATTTAACGTAATCAGCACAATCTTCGGCACATATACAGAGCCAGAAAGATATTAATGCATATTTTGGTTAAGCATACGTGGATGTGTAAGTGCACTCATACAGATCCATGTGTGAACAGATGGACTTTATGTGGTTAAAAACATGTTTCCAGACATGCTGCATACCCCTGCATGCAGTATACAGTGCCATAAGAAGGAACCATGTTCACATTTCATGTTATGCAATCGTTGTAGTGTGCAGATATCCTCTACATGTAAGTGAAGATGTAGAGTAATGGTCCGGTTTGCTTTAGGTCTTTGCACATTGAAACTTTTCACACTAAATCAGTCAGCTGCTTAATCCCAGTGGGCTCGCTGTCACTGCATCACAGAAGATGATTGATAATAGTGTTAAACACCTCATGAACCACAGCAGTGTGGTGTGATTCACAGTGTGGTTTTTGTCTATCAACACTTGTATGTGTGTAGGTGTAAGTGTATACGTAGGTGTCCACTGCAGCCATGATGCTGTCCTCATTCGTCAAGCAAGTGTAGTAAAAGTCAAGTGTTGCTCCCTTGTCCATCTGGAGAGTCATTGTTGCCGTCAGCATTTTATTATCTGAAGCACTTAACGTACCAGGAGACGGTCTTGGTTCTGTGCCCTGATCATGAAAAGTTCAGGAAAGCACATTTATCCCATTTTCAGATTTGATTTCTGTCCGCCTATGTGGTTTTTATTTTGCTTTTATAGTTAAATTGATCTGCCCAGAGAGGTTTAATTACATTCGGTCAAATTGGAGAGGATGTGCGACATGTTGTGATCCCAGGGAAGTGAAAAAGCAGAGTGACAAAGTGGTGGAGGTCT